GGTCTGCAAGGGGGTTCGCCAGCATGGAAGTGGCTGTTTGGTGGCTCTCTGGCTGCATCGGAAGCAGCTACCATAGCAACATATAGGCACATACAAAAGAAAACACGGACTAACGTAATGATTCCCGAAATAAGCAACGTGCTTTTCCACCAAGAACCCCATGATCCGAACCACTGATTTATTAAGTCCCCCAGGCTGGGGGTCAGTTCACTCCGGGCATTCACTTGTGCCCTCCTGTGATTTAATAAAGATGATACATAAGGATATTGTAACAGTGTTGTATGGTGACAGAGGGTGGCCACACTTGTGAGCATTGCATAATATATAGAGATGTTGTATCACTCTGATGTACTCCTGAAACTAATATAACATTGTGTGTCAACTGTACCCAAATTTAACAAAAGGGGGAGGGGAGAGAGAAAAAAAGATCCATTAGCAGACTCATCAGGTGTGAATACATAACATACTGTTTACATAATAGCCCAGGTGCCTCCTTGCAAGGCAGTGATAACATCCAAGTCCATTCTGTTTTGGAGGACAGCTTTTCTCCTTAGAGACATTTTGGGGATCGGTAAAGGCAGGCTTTACTGGCTGTCATTTAAGGCTTGTTTACCAACCATCATTAAAACTTGTAAATTTAGGGGCACCTGGGTGGCTCAGTCATTAAGCATCTGCCTTCAGCTCAGGTCATGATCCCAGGATCCTGGGATCGAGCCCCACATCGGGCTCCCTGCTCCAAGGGAGGTCTGCTTTTCCCTCCCCCACTCCACCTGCTTGTGTTCCCTCTCTCACTGTGTCTCTCTGTGTCAGATAAATAAATAAAATCTTTGAAGAAAAAATAAAAAAATAAAAAATAAATAAAACTTTAAATTTAGTAAGGGCTTCTACCTGTGTTCTAATGTCCTCCAGGCAAAATGATCATACCAGTAGAAAAAACAAATGCATGTCCATCTGGCCTTGAGGAGAGGGAAATTGGCAATTTTTGTTACTAAGGGGTGGGTTCTCCCCTGTGCCCAGGGAAAACCCAGATGCATTGACCCAACAACCACCCAGGTGGAAGCCATAGCCAAAATTTTTTGCCATACAACCACTGGGTCCCATTTGGGGCTACCCAATAAACACCTGGCCAGGACAGCCAGTCAGTACTATCCTTTAATGTGACAAAATGACTACATAGTTCCAGTGATAGTCATCCCATTCTCCTGGTGCAACTGGGTTGGTTCTGTTCCGAGTGGTTTTCCTGTTCTGTGCTAGGTGCTCAAATACCCATAACTTGGAGGGAGCTACATGAACCCGTCCCAAATCTGAGTGCCGTCACCCATGGCTCTGCCAGTGGTATTTTTAGCACCTTTCCAGTCAGCAGTTTGATGGGCTGCCTGTATAGTTTGACTGACAGGAAAAGAATATCCATGCCCAGTGTTATTGATAGAATGTGCCACGGGCCAGGTTTCTGGATCAGCATGGATAATACCGGATGAATTAAGAGCACTAGTCCTAGTTTGCTCTTCCCGAATGTGCTGCTTTCGTGCCTTCCAATCCCCTCCTTGGAGTGGTGACAGTGGCATGGCAATCCTGACAAGCCAGAGAGGGGCCACTGCCCACATACCCAACAGTAGGATTCATGCTTTTTGCCAGGCATACAAGTGAGCCCACCGCAGACAGGTCCTTCTATCAAGTGCTCATTTCATGATTGGACACCCCAGAAGCAGCAGACTTCTAAAGCCAAAAAGACAGATCTGTAGTAGGAACATGTATAAGGTTTTCCCCTTGTATAAGGATTACACTTGTGGCCTGATCCTTAGATGTTAACGTGGCTGCAGGTTTACGGAATTGGCCTGGTGGCGCAGACCACATATGTTGCCTAAGAAAGGCAGCCCTGCCCTAAGGATGGCAGTCTGCCTTCCCCAGTGACAGGGAACAGGTGAGGCTAGACCAGTGTCCACACAAACCAAGGCATATTTAGAACAGTCACTCAGATGGTGGGGGCCAATGTATGTGTACCAATCCTCACCACTTGGGATTTCTGGTGGATGGCTCCAGATTCAGGGTCCTAGGATCAAGCCCCGCATTGGGCTCCCTGCTTGGCGGGGAGCCTACTTCTCCCTCTCCCACTCCCCCTGCTTGTGCTCTCTCTCTCTCTCTCTCTCTCTCTTTGTCAAATAAATAAATAAAATCTTAAAACACACACACACACACACACACACACACACACTCCATAATAGCTACATAACTGAAGTTTGAAGATTCTTGCACTCAAAAATTTCAAAGCAACTTAAAGGCTCTGAAGCTTCATCGTCCCCATTTTATAGATGGAGAAATAGAGAGGCACGTGAAGCAGCTCTGCTCCTCACTTTGTGAAGGTGAGTAGTGTTTGTTTTCCAGATAGAGTGCAGAAACACACAAGGGGTTGACTACCAACTGGATTCTGAATGCAGAACGTCAGTCATCCAGCTGATTTGTTCATGGAGGACATGTAGTTTCTCTACCCATAGAGGCTTTCTGACCTCCACCAGCGACCCCACTAAGAAGGAGGGGAAGATCCCTAAAATTCTGTATCCCTAAGACTAGAGGGAAGAATTAGGCATAGTCCCAAATGCTTGATTAGGTGAGAGAGACAAATATTTAGGTAATTGGGTTATAAGACAGAGTCCAGTGACCGGGGTTCCAGCATGAGAGGTTGGGCAGTTGGGTGTTGAGATAAAGCTTCCTGGCAAAAAGTGACCCTGAATCATAAAAGATAAGAAGTATTAGTTTTAGTTCTGGATGAGGGGATGGGGCAAAAGTGATGCAACTTTCTGAAATTCCCTGCGGTTCTTTAACTGGGATCCCATCTTTGGTTGGAGCACAGCAGTATGGTTCATATAAATATACATAAAAATGTACATACATACCCATAAAAATCATTTTGTGCCTTTTCATCAGTTTGTATATTTTTCCGAAAATCATGTTTTCATGTCAGTGTGTTTTTGAGATTTCTCCACATTGATACATAGAAGTTGAATCCATTCCTGTTTAACTCCCAGAGCCTACTGATAAACATTTAGGCTTGGTTATTGTTTGGCCATAACCAACAGTCCAGGAGTGCATGCTCCCTTGTGCATATCTCCTTGTATAAGTGTGTGAGAGATTTCAAAACTAAACACCAAGAAGCAGAATTACTAAGCATTATGGACTGATTGTGTCCTCCCCAGTTCATATGTTAAGGTCAATGTGATGGTAATTGGAAGTGGAGCCTTTTGGATGGTAATCAGGTTTACACTGCAAGGAAGCAACCTTCAAGTCAAAAAGAGGACCCTCACCAGAAGCCAACCATGCTGACACCCTCATCCCAGACTTCCCAGCCTCCAGAACCATGAGAAATAAATGGCCATTGTTTGAGCCACCCAGTCTACAGTGCTTTGATAGGCAGCCCCAGCAGACTAAAACACTAGGGTAGGCACACTTGTGGGTCTTTAACTGCCAGATTCTCTTTCAAATGTTCCAATTTACATCTCCACCAACACAACCTCACCAACATGTGACATCATGAAATTTTTTCATCCAAGCTGTGCCTTGTAGGAAGACCATCATCCTTACCAGGCACAAATAGGTGCCAAACACCTAAACTTCTCTCTAAAGAAGGGGAAAGAGCATTTACTCAGCTCCAGGCCCTGTGCTGCACACCTAAAGCCTCCTAGAAACCCCCAACCGAAATAGTCTGATTCTTAAATATACAAAGAGAAAACAGGCTGAGAGAAGTGAAGTAACTTGCCCAAATTTACACACCAGAAAGTGGTGGAACCTGGACTCTAAACCAAGTCTGCACGCTGCTTATGTTCATACTCTTCACTTTTCTACATGCAACTAATACTTATTGAGCGCTGATTATACACCAGATGATTATTCACCAAATGAATTGCAGGGCCATTCTTAGTGTGAAGTAGTATTCAGTAAGTGTTGGTTGAGTGAATATTGAGATCAAGGAGCTCCAAGCCCACAGGAGAGACAGACACAAAATACACGAATGGAAGGCTGATGTGTCGCGACAGATATAAGCTGCAGTGCAGCAGGGCACAAACAAGGGAGTAGTTTCATTTCCTTTTGAATGCATTAGGTAAGCCTTTACACTGGAGATCGGTTTTGCCAAACATAAAGAGGAAATGGATTCTAGGAAGAAGGAGCAAGTGCAAAGGCACAGGAATGTGAAGCGATGTTAGACTTTCTGGAAATTACATGCTTTTGATTGCCTGAAAGTTGCTTCCTTCCAGTAGTGAGGCAAGGCATTAGCTCCGTTCAGTTCACTGATCCTTCATGAAAACGCCTTCTGTGCACCGGGCCCTGTGTGACAGAGATCCTTTACATGCATGATCTCATTTTGTCCTTGCACCCTTGTTCCCCATTACACAGATGAGAAAGTTGAGGCTCGAAGAGGTGGAGAGTCTGGCCCTGGAATACATTCAAACTTTCTGTTCTGTCCACTCCTTCATGTCTCCCCAAGATACTAGACCACTTCTGCACTCTCTTCACCCAGGTCCTACTCCAATGGAAAGATGTCCTCCTAGAACCTCAAGACCCAACACTAGTTACCCTTTGGGTCCATTTCTTTGTCTCTTTTCCTCCTTGGGAAACTGGAGAGCAGAATCCATCTGGAGTTCATGGAGTGTTCCATCCTTGACCAGATGATAACTATCCCCCCACCGATCATTCATTCATTTAACAAACATTTGTTGAGCACCTACTATGTGCCAAGCAATGTTCTCAGTACTGTAGATACAAAACTGAGTAAGACAGACAAGATTTCTGCCCTCAGGAAGGTTAAATTGCAGTGACTCCTTAGAGTTAGGAAGGTTTGGAGAGGTTATGTGGTTTGTCCGAGGACACATAGCAATCTTATTACATGGGTAGAATGGAAGCCTGAGACTGCCTGCCTCCCAGTGCTTTTTCCTCCCTCCTCCATGATGGACATAACCTATCTCTTACATCACTCTTGCTTTGCCTCTCCTTAGTCTCTGTCCAGCAGGATGACTACAGAGAACTTCACCCGGACCAGAGTTACCCCTGTTGACTTCATCCTCCTGGGCATCACGGATCGCTGGGACCTACGTGTGACCCTCTTCCTGGTTTTCCTGCCAGTCTACCTGGTGAGCCTGCTGGGAAATGTGGGCATGCTGCTGCTGATCCGCGTGGATGCCCGGCTCCAAACGGCCATGTACTTCTTCTTGGCCAGTCTCTCCCTGCTGGATGCCTGCTATTCCTCAGCCAACGGCCCCAAGATGCTAGTGGACTTGCTGCTGCCCCACGCCACCATCCCTTACCCAGCCTGTGCCCTCCAGATGTTTGTGTTTGCAGGGCTGGCTGATGCTGAGTGTTGCCTGTTGGCAGCCATGGCCTATGACCGCTACGTGGCCATCAGAAACCCTCTTCTCTACACAATAGCCATGTCGCGGCGCGTGTGCCTGGCCTTGCTGGGAGCATCAGGCCTGGGCGGGGCCGTGAGTGCCTTTGTCCACACGACCTTCACCTTCCGCTTGAACTTCTGCGGCTCCCGGGAGGTCAACAGCTTCTTCTGTGACATCCTCCCCCCGCCCCCCGCTGGCCATCTCGTGCAATGACACCAGTCTCAAAGAGCTCCTCCTCTTCGCTGTCCGTGGCTTCATCCAGACAGCAACTGTGTTGGTCATTACCGTGTCATACGGTTTCATTGCTGGGGCTGTGATTCGCATGCGCTCGGCGGAGGGCCGCTGGCGAGCAGCCTCTACCTGTGGCTCTCACCTCACGGCTGTAGCCATGCTGTATGGGACACTCATTTTCATGTACCTGCGTCCCAGCTCCAGCTATGCCCTGGACACTGACAAGATGGCATCTGTGTTCTATACTTTTGTCATCCCAGCTCTCAACCCACGCATCTACAGCCTCCGCAACAAGGAGGTCAAGGAAGCAGTCAGAAGGACTTGGAGCCGATTCTGCTGCCCTGGTCCAGGGCACCAATAAGAGGTCCAAGGAGCTTGGTTAGAACTATGACAAGAGAAGAGGTCGCTTTCTGGCCCCTGTCACTGTAGGTAAAGATAGATGAACCTCTGGCTTGGGTGTCTCTTGCAATTGTTGAAGGGACTGGAAAGGGGGAGAAGCTTGCAGAAGGGAGACAAGAATCTCCCAAGAGGGTTAATCTGGGGCTAGACCTAGAGCCAGAACCAAGATCAGGTTAATGTGCCTGGTGAGCTGCCTTAGGTTCCTCAGTGTTCAAAACTGAGTCCCTAGATGTTACCAGGTGAACTTACTGGATGTATTTGCCACTTGTACCTTTAGAAGGCTGATTCCCAGAAACACCAGGTAAAAATTGGGTTGGCTCCAAGTGTTCCTAGATTTCTTCCCCTTTTAAGGTTCTCCATGACCAGTGAGGCTGCTCCTACTCTCTTTGACCCCCAGAGAGCATCTTCAGAACCCACTCATGCCAAAGAATGGGACTGAATCTGATAAAGCAAATACCCCAACCTATTAGCCTATGTAATTCCATCTCTTGGGGAAATGGCTGAACGGCACGGGAACATACACAGGCTCCTTCCAAAAATGCCAATAGTTAGGTTAGAATCTGGCCCCTGCCCCATTAGGTCAGGCATATGGTGAGGTTAGGAAAGGGTCAGAATTATGGATGTGGTCAGAATAGGGTTAGGATTAGGGTTCTGGTTATGCCTAAGACTACAGTTAGAGTAAGGATAGAGCCAGGGCTGGGTTTGGAATTTAAAAGCAATCAGATAAATTTAGGATTGAATTGAAATTATATGCATTATAGGATTTGGGTTGATTTTAATTAGTAGTAGGTTTGGGATAAATTTAGGAGTCAGAGTTTGGATTAACTTGAACTCTTATTAGAAATAATTGAGGGTTAGTTTTAGAGTACGGGACAAATTAAGGCTAGAGTTCAGGTTTCACTTTTATTGCTTAGAGTACATTCAGGTTAGAGTGTAGTCCATATCAGAGATCTGTTAGATAAGTTAAACTGATGTGTGGATAAGGTCCGTGATAAGTTTAGGTCACGGTCTAAAGTTATTATTGCAGTTAATCTAGGTTCAGAACAGATGAGAGACATAAGAAGAGTATTTTAAGTATCAAATTGGCATGTCTTGGGTCTTAATTTAAGATTCATTTTGGGTTATAGATAATGATTCATGTGTCCTAAAGCTTAGGGGTACAAGATGGTTATTGGTACATTTATATTTCATTTGCAGTTATGAACATACTCAGATTAGCACTTGGTCCAGTACAATAGACTGCTTTGTGTTTAGATTACAACATCCAGAGGCAGAATCAGGGTTAGGAGAGGGAATGCCATAGCCCTGCCCTCTTGGGTAACCACAGTGCTCACAGCCTGGGGTCGCTCTGGAACCTTCTGACCCAATGCTTTTGGGATTTTCATCTACCCAGAGTTCACAATTTTGACAGATTTTTCTTTGTCTCCCTGACTCAGTTACACATGGGCAAGGCCAAGGCCCTGAATTCTGCCTGGAAAGCCCCTCCATGCAGAGGGGCAGGACAAGAATGGACCCCAGGAGTTAAAGCAGGGACTAAGAAGAGATGGAGCATGGCCAGAGCCCATGTCAGCTCCCACCTGATCCCCCGCCTCCAGTTCCCCTGATTTGGCTGTGATGAGGCCAGGGGTGGAGAGGAATGGGGTTCAAACTCCAATAGGCTCCCCACAGAGTCTCTTCCTTTCTCTCCACCTCACCCCTTCAACTTCCCTTCAAAGGGAAATCAGCCACCAGGCACCAAGGCTGCAGGAAGACTGAAGGTTCAGCCTGGCTCCCTGGGAAGGTGATGCTCCTTGTTACCAGGACCAGGACCCTCCTTCTCAGTAACTGTGGTCTTCAGGGGGGTCCCAGTGTCATGGAGGGAGGGATATGCACAAAACTGTCTCTTCATATCTTAGAGGAGTTTATAGGTTTCCTGAAGGGGTCACCAACTTGTCCTGGTTTGCCCAGAGCTGTCCTAGTTTTAAAACATCAAGCCCCGGGCGCCTGGGTGGCTCAGTTGGTTAAGCGACTGCCTTTGGCTCAGGTCATGATCCTGGAGTCCCGGGATCGCGTCCCGCATCGGGCTCCCTGCTCAGCGGGGAGTCTGCTTCTCCCTCTGACCCTCCCCCCTCTCATGCTCTCTCTCTCTCTCATTCTCTCTCTCAAATAAATAAATAAAATCTTTAAATAAATAAATAAATAAATAAATAAATAAAACACCAAGTCCCATGTCCTAAGAACCTGCGCAGTGCTGAGAAAACCAGAATCATTGGTCACCTTGTTCCCTGATGAGCCCACATCTCGATGGTAGAGGGTAGAGTATCCTAGGTCAGCACATTGTGACAAAAGTTCACCTAAATTAAAACCCCTTCTCCCATCACAGACTTTTATAATCCTTTCCCAGTTCATGCCTCCTTATCACTGTAAAAACTCACATGCCATCACAATGGTTGGAGGCATTATCAGAAAAGTTGGCAACCTCCAGACTGAGAATATGAAGTTTGCCCCCAATTCAATAACATTTATACTTAAAGCTCTCCTCTGTGGTCTTTTCTTCTTTGTTCATATTCTTGGGCTCTCATGACATGTACAGGTCCCACCACCATCAGGGAAGTTTCTAGAGGCATCTGGCCCCTTCCACTATCTTGGCCCTACAGGACATCCATGGGTCCTCCCACATGCTTAGCATCAGTGGGGCAGTAATAATTACAATAATAATTACAGAGATAATAATAATAATGCAATAATTACAGAAATCCTACACATTAACATGAGGTTGCAGGCCACAATGCTGGGCCTATTTGAGAGATAGAACAAACAAAAGAGAATGGGAAGGATTGGAAGGCAGTAACAGCTCAATCTGGAGGATAAGGGAAGAGAAACAGATCCTCGACCCCAAAGTGAAATGTCCAGTAAATTAAATCTCCCCAATTCCAGTCAAATATTTCCCTTTTAAACCTCCTAAAACACCGTTTACCAAGATAAGCAGTCAGGACAAGAGCAGGCTTGAAATGGGGAAAATTGGGGGTCTGATTTAGGGCACTTATTGCACAAAGTGAGGTGGGCCTTACAGCATGGGTGGGAACTGGAAAAGGAACATTCCATGGGGGAAGGTACAAACGGACACAAAGACATGGCCATGAAATGAGCCCAGCGCGTGCAGGAGACTTTAAGGACACTGATTTAATTGGCTTGAGAGGGACGTATTAGAAAAGAAGTAGAGGGAAGTATGAAGATTGAGGGTCTGAGAATATCGTGGGTGAGGTCTCAGGTAGAGGAATGTGGACTTTCTTCAGTAGGCAATGGGGAATCCCGGAAAGTTCTCATGTTCCAAACCACACTTTAGGGTTGTTCTGACACCGAGTCTTGCAAAGCCAGTCCCTCCTGGAATGCTACGCGCAGCACCCTTCTGTGACAATACACACCCAGCAACACAGACCCCTCCCCGACACAGACCCAGCCGCCATCCAAAAACGTCCTTGCACAAAGAAACACACTCACAGGCATGGCCTCCCGCACAGACACAGATGGAGCTGCACACTCAGACACGCACTGAAGCTGTGACGCACTGGCTTGCGCAGAGAGACACAGTGACTGTCTCCACACCCAGGCATACGATCCTACACGCTCACACACACGGTCGCACAGGCATACCTATCGCCCATCACCAATCCCTCCCATACTCCCCCACTTCCTACAAGAAGCCACCGGCAACAGCTGAGGGGACAGCAGGGTTGACCCCCGGGGAGCTGAGGCTGTAAGCCCTGGGCTCCCCTGCCCCCGACCCCAGCACTCTGCTTGGGGCTGAGGAGTCTTCTTTCTGGCCTTCACAAGACAGGGACTGAGGGGCAGCACCCTCAATATGCATGAGCTCCTGAATGTCCCTTGAGTGGGGGGTGGCCCCAACCATCCCTTCTCCCGTCAAACTGGGCCCTAGAGAGGAAGAATAACAAGCCCCAGAAGTGAGCTGCCTCCTTCCCGAGGGTTGAGGGCCTGGGGAAGGCACGGGGTTGCCTCTGGGGGGCCGTAAGTTGTGGCCAATAACTCCCTCCTCAGACACTCCAGTGACAGAGCACACAGGGTCCCCACTGCGGTTCCCTCCTGCAATGCGGAGAGGCCAGAGGGCACACTGGCGCAAAGTGTGCGGATCTGTCTTCCCACGTGCGACTGTGAGCATGAGACACGTGTGAGTGTGAGAGTGATGCTGCTGGTGGGAGGCTATGATTGTGCTTCCCCATCACTGTACAGCCATGTCATGGGGGGGCAGTGTGCATACCGATGTGCCCCTCCAGGGTGGCGCATCTCTGCGGTGACCCATCACGAGCCTATGTGAGTGTCGCCATGTGCGTGCAAGTGTGAGGCTGTGAGCCCCCGCGGCTGTGCGTGATGAGAATGTGATCAGCAAGGGGGTCAGGTGCGACTAGCATGGGCATGAGCACGCACTGCGAGAGTGCTTACACAGAGTAGGTATAAATGTGCACGGCGGGTCCCAGGAGCTGTACGTGGTGCTGTGAGTATCCATGAAATGATCATCACTCTCAGGCTTCAGGGCTATTTCGTGATTGTATTTGACCATCTATTTATGTGTATCATGATCTGAGTCCATGGGTCTTGTGGTTTTACTTGTTCGCTTATGTGTGACGCATGTGCTGGGTCCACATCTCTGTATATGACAGATCGTGCCTGTGTGTTTGCAGAGACCAGCCTGTGGCTGCGCATGTCTGCAAGCCTGCACGGGTGCGTCTATGATCACAAATGGAGGTTCTACAAACATTTCAGCGCATTTTAATGTTCACTGGGACCAATGTAGACACAGGTCAGAACAGGTCTAGTTTTTAAAAGCCACTTTATAAAGAGCTTGCCCCTTCCCCATCCGACTGTCCAACCACTCATCCTCCTGGAAGGTGGCACATGATCGGGACTTTGAGAAAATGCTCTACAGGGAGCCAAAGCTAGAGCATTCTTCTTACCCAACGGAGGAAG